GCAGGGGTGCCTCTAAGAAGCCGCCCACCCTCCCCCTACCCCCCTCCGCGCGTGGCCGAGAGTCATCAAACTCGCGCTCGGTGCGACTCCCCAGACCCTCGGCGTCATGATCTTTTCATTACCTCGACCCCTGGAGGTCTCGACCCATTCCCCGGGACCGGTGTTTCATCCTGAATCGTTTTCTTGACGCTCCCGGGGGGCTGGTAAGGGCCCCCAGGAGGCCGAAAAGAGCAAAACACCTCCCGTCGCGATCGTTTCTTTGCCCGAGAGCTCTAGGGGAACAAAAGGCCACATAAGCATAATTAAAAGCCCGGAGGTCCGCGCGGACTTCTCGGATCGGCGCTGGACCCCCCTCCCTGGCGCGCGGAGCGCGCCAGGGGCGGCGCCGGAGGCGCCGCCGGGGGGCCCCAATGCCGATCCGAGAAATCCGCGCGGACCTCCGAGATTTTACGCTTCTGCCACTTTTTGTTCCCCCAGGGTCTGGGTCTGCTCCCTCGAGCCTGGCCCAGCGCCGGGCCCGGGGCGGCGGCCGCCGCCGTGCCGAGGGCCGCCGCGGCCGGCTGCTCCAGCGGGCGCGGGCCGGGCCAGCTCAGGGCGGCGCCGGCGCCCCGCGGAGCCAGGGGCGGCGCCGGCAGGGGCACGGAGCCCAGCTCCACGAAGCGGGCGCCCCCGGCGGCGGGCGCCGGCGCGCCCGGCGCCGCCGCGCCGGGCCGCCAGACGTTGAGGCAGTCGCCGAGGGGGCGCACGCGCTGGGGGCAGGCGGGGGCGCCGCCGGCGGCGGGGGGGGGCTCGGCCGCCTGGCCGCGGGCCGCGATGGGCAGGCTGAGGGGCCCCGCGAAGGCCCCAGCCATGCCCGGCCGCGGTGCCCGGCGAGATGCCAGCGAGGGTGTGGCCGAGCGGGGGGCGCGCGGCGGCGGCGGCCCGGCGGCTTGGGCAAGCGGGCCGGGAGGATCAGCTTGCGATCGTGGTGGCCCGCGGGCCTGCTCAGTCGACGAGGGGGGGGGGCATAGCTGCCCGTGGGCGGAGGGTGATTCCAGACACGACTGGCAAGACAAGCCGCATGCGTAAGAGTGCTCGCCCTGGGCCAACACACGGCAAACTGATCGCGCCACACGCACATCAGATAAATCCCTTTAACGATACTCTCAATCAGAGCACGGCTCTTACATACCGAACTGCATCATTCGTGCAATGAACATATACCATATCGCATTGGACGAGCCGCGTCGCTCCACAGACCACACGATATGAAAGCGCGGTGTCGCACCTTGCCCGCTTTAGAATGAGGAGCCACCCAGAATCAATCCCTGCTGCAGCCAAGGCGGAGGATCACACGTGCTGCATCAACGGGTCCCCAATGCGACAAAACATGCACTCCTAGCGTGTAATCTGAACGTCAGATAAACATCCCTTTATCACCGTACTCAATTGGCACACGGCTTTTACAGACCAAACTGCCACTGACAAAGCGACATCGCTTCGCAGCCCAGACACCATCAAGCCTCGTGGCCGCATGCTGCACGCTCGACCGACGAAGCATCGCCAACATCACTGCCTACTACAGCAGAGGCACATGAGCACACGCGCTGCAGCACTGAGTGCACCACAACGGCAAACCAAGAACACTGAATCATGTAGCCTGCACGTCAGATAAATCCCTTTATCAATACTCTCAATCAGAACGAAGCTCTGATACATCGAATTGCATCAATCGTGCAGCGAACCGGCGCGAAGCATCGGTTCAAAGCATCGAAATAGCAATGCCGTTCCGCGGTCCGAGCAGCACCAACTATCGTAGTCGCATCTTGAACGCTCAACTGCGAGGATTCTCCAATATCACTGCCTACTCAAGTCGACACGTATGAGCAGTCGCGATATGCCAATGGACGCAAAAACAAAAATACATGCACTCCAAAAGGTGAAGCCTGCACTTCAGATAGATCTTTGTGAGTGTTCATCAAAACGGAGCTCTTCTGAGTTGAAATGTATGCCCCACGCATCAAAACAATGCGATACATCAAAGGGTGCCAGAGCGTAGGTTCTTGCATGAGTCATGGCATGTCCGCGAGTCAGACATCACTCCAAGGAATCACATGGCGGCTAGCTTCCCAAACGGTCGAAACGAAACCCGTTATCTCGATCATATACCTCCAGCTCTCCAAACTCGGGGGCGGCCGAGAGTGGGGCGTCCAAGAGGGGGGGGGGCGCAAATCATGGCCAGCGGCATGTGCGCGGCTCAGGGGGGGGGGCCCGGAACGTACTGAAATAAGAAGAGGCACCATGAAATCTGGTGAGATCTCATGGCTCCTGCCATGATATCCACCCCCCCTAGCCATCGCCCCCCTCTTGGCCGCCCCCGACAGATGTCGGCCCCATGCCCCAAGATGCCGCCAGGGGGCTTTCCCGAAACTCTCCTGGGAAGAATCTTCGGCCACCCAGGGAGGCCGGGGCTGGCCCGAGAGGCCCAGGCCAACGATTGAAAACCCGTGTGATCGTTGATTGTTCTATCATGCTTTTCGGCCATCGGAGCATCCAAGAGACTTTTTTTATCGCCGATGACACGGGGTATCCGGGGGGCAGCCTTGTATATGCCCGCCCGCACCAGTGTTGCGGCCCCTGCAGCTGCTAATGATTCTGCCGCGCTGCTACTATGGGTGCTGCGACGATGCGGGCGCCGTTTGAGAATGCCTAGGGGCGCCTGGACAGCCCGCATTGGAATACGCGGGATGTGATTGCTAAGCGTAGCCGCGATGTCTTGTGCACTCTATCTATAGAATACAAACACGCGTGCACCACACTGCCTGTGAGCACTACATAAAAATGCGTGCGCCAGAACGGTCTTGCACGCTGCAGCAGAGGCTTCTGCGTGCACCATAGCGCCTGTGTACACCCCGATGCCTGAGCACACCACAGGAGCAACGTACACCACAGCGTATGGCAAACATTTGCGCCACAGCGCTTGCGCGCACCTCCAAGGCCACGCCGGGGCCAAAATCTGGAAACTCGTCGGGGGTCCGAACGTATCAAATTCAATGTGTAAGATATTTGTGATTATTGCATTTTCTGGCCAGAGGGGAACGGTCCCTCTCTATTTTAGCCGACCATGGTTGTGTACACCACGGTGCTTGTCTAGTGTACACCACGACGCCTTTGTACACCACAGCTGCTTGTGTACACCGCAGCGCCTGTCTAGACAACAGTGCCTGTGTACACCACAATGCCTGTGTACACGACAGCAGCCGTGTGCACCACAGCGCCTGTGTACACTGCGGTGCTTGTGCACACCACAGGAACCGCGTGCACCACAGCGAATGGCAAACATTTGCGCCACAGCGCTTCCGTACACCTCCAAGGTCCCGCTGGGGCCCACATCTGGAAGATCCCCGGGGGCCCGACCGTATCAAATTTCAATATGTTAGTTATTTGTGATTATTAATTTTCCTGGCCCGGGGTGCGGTCCCCCCGTTTTCGGCCGACCATGTCTGTGTACACCACGGCACCTGTCTAGCGTGCGCCACGACGCATTTGTACACCACAGCTGCTTGTGTACACCGCAGCGCCTGTCTACACAGCAATACCTGTGTACACCACGATGCCTGTGTAACTATAGCAGCCGTGTGAACCGCAGCGCCTGTATACACCACACACACTGCCTGTGCACACGACGACGCCTATGTGCACCACGGTTGTTGCTTCAGCCCCAGACTCGTGCACCACAGCTCCAGTGCATCAACGTGCATGTACTCCACCGTGCCAGGGATGCCTGCGTGAATGATAACTGATGCTGCAGCAACAGTTGAGCACACCACAAAGCCTGTCTTCACCAGATTGCCTGCGTGCATCACGATGCCTGCGTGCACCGCGCGACCTGCGTGCATTTATGCTTGCGTGCACCACAACGCCTGCGTACACAACAGATCCTGCTGCGACAGCAGCAAAGGCGCGCACCAAATCGCCTCGCTGCCTGTGCACAACGCCTGCGTAGTACGCGCTGCTCACGTGCACCTCCAGATGCCTGTGGACGACGTCGGTCGTCATCGGTCGTCGACGTCGTCGTCGCCATCGTCGTCGTCGTCGTCTGTCGTCGTCTGTCGTCGTCTATCGTGTGTCGTCGTCTCGTCTGCCATCTGTCGTCTGTCGTCGTCGTCCTCCTCCTCCTCCTCCCCGTGCCACCACTCCCCAACGTTCCGCCAACGTGCATCCAAAAACCAATATGCTGTGGCGAACACCACCGTGCCGTTGAACACAGCGCTCCCTGCGAGCTCCCTGCGCCCCCCCCTCCCCCCGGACCTGCACAACCGGCTAGGTTAGGTTAAACTGGGGGGGCGGGGGCGAGCCCGGGAACCTGGGTTATCGCCGGGCCCTTGAAAAACAGTCTCCAAGAGCGCCCCGTGCCCCCACGAGAGCCCAAGATCGGCGGCGAGCGAGGGGGGGAAGTGAGAAGGAGAAGGCGTCCTCAGAACGCGGCGGGACTTTTCAGAAGCCCTCGGGCTTTCAGGTTTCCTGTGACTCCGGGGAAGGCTCAGGAGACTCCTCAGAAGGCCAGGGGACTTCCGCGCCGTCTGAGAAAACTTTCTCCTTCTCATTTCCCCCTGGGATGGCCGCCGAAGTATGTTCACCCATGCGGCCATCGCAGCATCCACGAGGCCCACGTGCCCCCGAGAGAGCCCAAGAGGCCCACCAGACGGCCCCGCATCGGAACAGCGACGTCGTTAGGCAGCCTGGCTATCAAATCTCATGGCGACACCCATTGCCTACGACAGCAGAGGCAAGCGCCAAAACGACAAACCATGCACTCCGAAGCGTGTAGCCTGCACTTCAGGTAAATCCCTTTTTCAATACTCTCAATCAAAGCACAGCTCTTACACAACGAATTGCATCACTCGTGCAACGAACCGGTGCAAAGCATCGGAATCGCAACGTCGCTCCGCAGTCTAAAGAGCACCAAATATCGCGGGCGCATCTTGAACGCTCAATGGCGAGGATTCTTCAATATCACTGCCTACTCCAGCCGACGAGTATAAGCAGACGCGTTGCGTCAATGAGCGCCAAAACAAAAATATGTGCACTTCGAAGCGTGTGGCCTGCACTTTAGATAAATCCTTTTCTAAATTCAATCAACCAGAGCTCTTCTAAATTGAAATGCGTCCCTAGTGCATCAAAGCAATGCGCTACATCAAAGGGTACCAGAGCGTAGGTTCTTGCATGAGCTATGACATGATAACGAGTCAGACATCACTCCAAGGAATCACATGACAGCTAGCTTACCAAGCGGTCGAAACGAAACCCGTTATCCTGGTAATGTCTCACCAGAGCTGCAAATCTCCACATGCTTTAAGATGGTGCCAAGGGGCTTTCCTGAAACTCTCTTGGGGGGCTTTTCGGCGGCATTAGAAGCATATTGAAAACCCGCGTGATCGTTTCTCGTTCTATCATCTTCACCTTTTCGGCCATCACAGTATCCAAGAGGCCCACATGCCCCCAAGAGAGCCCAAGAGGCCCCCAAGACAGCCCCGCAGTAGAAGAGAAAAGGCGTTCCGCAATCTGACTATCAAATCTCATGACGGCATGACTGCCTGCTGCAACAGAATGCAACAGAGGCAGATGAGCACACCCGTTGTATCAATGAGAGCGCCAAAACGAAAATACATGTTTTTCGAAGCGAGTAGCCTGCACTTCAGATAAATCCCTTTTCTCAATACTCGCAATCAGAGCAAAGCTCTTACACATCGAATTGCATCACTCGTGCAACGAACTGGCGCAAAGCATCGGAATAGCATAATTGTCCCGCAGTCCCGTCAACAACGAGCAACATGGTCGCATCGTTCCCGCTCAGCGGCGAACGCTCGCCAATGCACCTGCCTACTCCAGCCGGGGCAGATGAGCACACCCGTATCAATGATCGCCACAACGACAATGCACGCACTCCGAAGCGTGT